TTCATTTCGAGGTGAACTCCACAATTAGTATGTGTGAATTTATTTAATAGCAAGATTTTCAGTATCTATACCACCTAATTTTGAAAAATTATCATCATCTTATCAAAGCATACATGCTAAAACACTGCAGTCGCCTGTTTCCTATGCGTGCGCACTCGCACACTAACACACCTATATATATATGTGTATGCCTATCTGTGTGTTTCTGTGCTTATTAATGCGTGTGTATACTAACTTGTGCACATGCTCATATTTATGTGCATGTGTATGTGTATATATGTGTGTATTCAGGTGTTTATTTATATGTATGTTTAATGAATTTATCTACATTTATATTCATAAGGGCGAAATGAATGATACTGGCAGACCGATAAAAGGACGATTGCAGACAGATTGAGGGGTCGGATCTTGTGACAACCCTTTGCCCGTTTAGTTTGAGTGTGTTTGCACTCTCTTGATTTTCCTGCCTGTGATATGTTGATGGCCTATTCTGGCCTTGCTGCATGACATGAGGACGACACTCCTACTTCGAAGGTCGAGAGCGTCTTCAAGCCACACCAGAAACCACTTTTCTGCGTCCATGAAGGCCAGCCCTCGGGCCATCGGGCGGCGAAGCGACCCGACAGCCCAACAGCCCGGCTTCAAGAGCCTAAAAGCAACACCTCGAGTGTACAGCAGACCAGGTCGATTGTCTGGAAGCTACCGTGTCAGAGTGAGCCTGAACACAACCAGATATTAGCCAGGCCTATTCTACAGAACTGCAGTTCGGTAATACGTCACAATCTTCGACTGTATAACAGTATATCTTGTTCAATAGGCCTGAATGCATCTTAGTAAACTAAAAATCAAAGAGAAAATAGGATGAAGAATGTGAAAGAGAAAATTAGTGAAAACGAAAGTGAGAAAGAAATCAGGAGCAATAAGAGAAGGAGATATGGAATGAGGAAAAAAATATACAGAAAGAAAGAGAGAGTAAGAGAAATATTTAAAAAAAATTGAGAGGGAGACCAAAAAGGAAAAAGAAAACGAAGGTAGGAACATGGGTGAGATGAAGAGCAAGAGCGAGAACTACAACGAGACTGAGAAACAGAGCATGAATGAGTTTAAGAACAAGAGTTAATGAGAAATTCAGAGCTAGATCAAGAAATGGGGAGGGAACAAGACTGAGAAATAGACCAAACCGAGATTAAAAATAAGATTGAGGATAAATCAAAAGCGAAAGACAGAACGAGAAAGGTAAAAAGATATGGAGCGAAACCGATATTAAAACAAGATCGAGGATGAAATTGAGAGCGATAGCAATAGCGAGAACGAGAACACGAAGAAGATTGATATATAGACCGAAATCCAGATAAATTATAAGATTGAGAATGAAATCTAAGACAAGATCAAGTACGAGAAATGGAAAATGACTGAGATATAGAATGTGAGCGAGATAAAAATGACGATCGAGGATAAATCGAGAACGAGAGTCAGAACGAGAACAGGAGCGAGATTGAAATATAGACCAAGATCGAGATCAAGAACGAGAAATGGAAAAATACTTAGAAATACACCGTGACAGAGATTAAAAACAAGATTAAATCCTAAATGTTAAACATGATCACGAACGAGAACGGGAAAAAGATTGAAAAATAGTCCGTGACCGAGATTACAAACAAGATTGGGAATGAAATCGGGAACGAGATCAAGAACTAGAACTGCGACATTACGAAAAAATAGACCGTGACCGAGATTAA